CTTAAAACATCTCAATTGGTATTCATTGAATTCCTAAACCTTTTCCCCCCAGGGCCTGCAGTGCAGTTTAGACTACTCCCTTCAGTATCATTGGTTCTTGAACACATGCTACATCCTGAAATGGCACATTCTTTGTGGGTCAGTGGCTCTGTATTCCTTCCATCTCCTTTCACTGCTTCTGCGCAGTCAGTATTTTCCACGGAGGCTTTTCAGTTTTGGAGCCTAAGATGTGAATTTTTTTCTTCAGTTCTTTCAGCTGGAGAAATTCTGAGCCTTTTTTTTCCTTTTGGTTCTCTAATTCCAGGTTTTTACGCATTTCATTATAATACTTTGTCTTCTCTAGCTCTTTTTTGAAATCTTATGTTCATAATTAAAGGCATATAAAAAAACAGAAAAATTCATCTCAGTGGAGAGAAATGGAAAGTTCTTCCCTTCTGAATGGTAACCAGACAAGGAAGCCCTTTACCACTATTCCTATTCAATATTGTACTGAAATTCTTAGAGCTATAAGACAAGAAAGGAAAATTAAAGACATCCAAATTGGAAACGAAAAAGTAAAACTCTGTCTATTTGCAGGAGATAAGATCCTGTACGTTTTGTTATTGTTAGGTATAATCATGTTGGGTCCGACTCATAGTGTCCGTCTGCACAACAGAATGAAACCCTGCCTGGTCTTGCACCACCCTCACATTTGTTGTCATATTTGAGCCCACTGGGTTATTATATTGCGGCCACTGTGTCAGTCCATCTTGTTGGGGATCTTCCTCTTTTTCACTGACCCTTAACTTGACCAAATAGGATGTCCTTCTCCAGGGACTGGCCCCTCCTGATCATATGTCTGAAGTAACTAGAGATGAAGTCTCGCCATCTTTCCTTCTAAGGAGCATTCTGGTTGCACTTCTGCCAAAACAGATTTGTTTGTTCCTCTGGCAGTCCATGATGCTTTCAGTATTCTTCAACAACACTGTAATTCAAATGCATCGATTCTTCTATGGTCTTCCTTATTCGTTGTTCAACGTTTACATCCCATAAAGCTATTGAAAATACTATGGCTTAGGTCAAGCACACTTTGGTCCTAACACTGATATTTTTGCTCTTGAACTCTTTAACGAGAGCTTTTGCAACAGATTTGCTTAATGCAATAGGCTATTTGATTTCTTGACTGTTGCTTCTGTGAGTATTCATTGTGGATAAAAGCAAAATGAAGTCTTTGACAACTTCGGTCATTTCTCAATTTATTGTGATATAATTTATTGGTCCAGCTGTTGAGGATTCTATATTTTTTTATATTGGGGTGAAATTCATATTGAAGGCTGTCGTCTTTGATCGTCATCAGCCAATATTATGAGTCCTCTTCACTTTCAGCAAGCAAGGTTGTATCATCTACATATTGCAGGTTGTTCATGAGTCTTGCTCCAATCATGATGTCACATTCTTCTTAATATAATTCAGCTTCTCAGATAATCTGATCAACATATTGATTAAGTAAGTATGGTGAAATAATACAACCCTGACTCACACCTTTCCTGATTTTAAACCATTCAGTATCCCCCTGTTCTGTTCTAACAACTACCTCTTTGTCTATGTACAGGTTCCTCATTAGCACAATGAAGTGTTCTGAAATAACCATTCTCCCCAATATTATCCATAGTTTATCATGGT